TAATAAATTCTTTGATTATTTTAAATCTAAAACACAAAGCCGGCACGCGTCACTAATTTATAGATATTTTTGCGTATGCATCCGGAGACCCATTTTACTGGAAAAAGAGGCATTCTATCTTAGTCCTCACGGCTGACAACGCATCTGCAACACATTTTAATTCGCAAACGAAGATAGATGTAGATTTCTATGGGCCACAGCAACCACTTACCATCAGGTGGACTGTGTGCTCGTTTGTCACCCTTATTCTATAAAAAAAAATGCATCTAGCTTAGTATTCGAATGCTAGACCCCCGTAATAGGATACTTTGGCTACTAAGCCACTGCAAACACACATCAATATCTCAATCAATACGTATTTATTTTAGGTTCCTCGCGTGAAGTGCGCTTGACTAAAGCGGTCGATCCCTTCGCGGAGTCCTTGAGGAAGTATCCACAAACCTCGACTAACACCACCGGTTCTTCTGAACTTATAGAAAAAATCCTATCCAGTACAATTTCGAAACGATGTTAGTATTCAACTGAAACCAGTTTATACAGTTTTTATCGCATTTATTAACTTACATTCCCGACGTTTCGAGTACTTTACAGCACCCATGATTACGTCGGGACTGAAGGGTTCAACGCCCCAGTGTCATAATTAATCACTGCTACTTTCAGTTTAAAATTATTATTTTTGGTCCGATCTACACAGCGAGTATAGTATCACTAACATGCTTACAGTATCTTGAAGTCTTGCAGTTGTACGCATGGGTCGGAATTTAATTTTATTAATTACTAGCTGGTATACTCGGCGCGTTGCAGCTGCAGAAGAAATAATTGTGGAAATATCGTTTTAAATTTGGAACAGTTATTTTGTTTAATTAAGAATGACAATACATTCATTGAAATTGAATGATATACATATATCATTCAATTTCTATATTATACTAGCTGACCCGGCGACAGACGGCTGACAGCCGATTATTTAATTTTTTTATTACTTATTCTGCTATTTGGAACACCGGGTCAGCTAGTAAGATAAAAAAGAGAAAATAAAGTTAATAAGTCAACAATTACAATTAAAAATTATAAAACACTATTGACAAATATTGACATTAATATTTATACGATACTAACGTCACTCAATTGTTTTGCCTTCCCGGAACCCCTCCACTAACACTTAAACTTTCCGGTATTGTTATTAAAGTTCAAATTGACTTTTAAGTATTATAACGAATCTTTTGTATGGAAATATAGAAAAGTGTTGTTTTTAGAATTTTTCAGGCAATTTTTTAAATTTTTCTCACCGTAAGAACCATCTTCGTACTTCAAGGAGTATTATAAAAAAAGAATTAGCGAAATCGGTTCAGCTGGTCTCGAGATTTGCGCTTAGCAACACATTCAGCAATTCATTTTTATATTATAGATATATCAAATAAATTTGTTGGTGCGATACCCGCGCCACCTACTGTTAGTTAATTGTACTATGCCTATAACCTTCGCGCAAGTGCAAGCATTAAGGCCGGCCACATACATACGGAAATCCGTTTCGGAATTCTGAACGGGTCGGCCACACACATACAGAATCCCGTTTTGCCAGCAAAATTTCGAACGGAAAACTACCGTACGTGCGTGACGGATCATAGATTTTATATGAACTTGCTGCGTTTGGAATCTCAAATCGGAATTAAGAAACGGAATCCCGAACGGGTCGGACACAGGCCACTAAAACTACCGTACGTGTGACGGGTCCTTGATTTTATATGGACTCGTTGTGTTAGGAATTCCGAATGAAAAAAGTCGCTCCGAACGCAAGCCGTCCATAGATTTTGTATGAGTTGCAACACACATTCGAAATTCCGTACGGAACGCGCTCAGTGTTTGTCGCATGACCCACAGACCCACAGGGTACCTTTGTATAAACCGAACGCACGACCGAAGCGAGTAGGTGCGTTTATGTAGGTTTTTACATTTAATCTTATATGTGTACTCGTATAGCTTTTGGTAACCTTTCATTTTATTTTGTTTAATAATTCGTCATAAGGGTTTACGGACAGCCATATTTAAAAAAAATATCTCTGGATAGATAGATCTTTTTACATAATATTGACTATATTGTGTATGAGATGATAAAGGCTTGAACTGATTATTTAATTTATTCTGATATTATTGCAATTGAGTACAATGCGCGACGGCGAATGATTGCGTACTGAATTGATGAGAATGAAAAATGAAACAATAAGGTAAAAATGCTGATGTGCAGAAATGTGCGGTTTGTAAAGACCGTACGTGCTGCGGGGCGAGAGAGAGAACAGATGATGATTGATAGGTGATTACAAAATGATAATGATGATGATACTACAAAAATTAGCTTATAAATTTCAATTAAAAAGCTTATAAATTTCACACTTCACTACACTGCACTATGACCACTAAAACTTTGCTAACAAACTGTAGGCAACGTCGACTTATCCAGTGCTCGTGCACTCAGTTCACACATTGACGTAAAGACAATACCGCGGGGCTCGATCGATGGTGCTTGCTCTGTTTAGGGCTTGTGCCAGTGAACTGTACTTTCAAGCCAACTGATCTTTTGCTTTAAGAGTGTGACATAGGCTCCGCAATGCAAACAATGCTGATGCTAGTATAGCTGCTCCCAGCAGAAGATTAATAACCGACATAATGGTGTAGGTCGTGGTTTGATAACTGATCTGCCAACTCTGTGTCAGTGTCACTTGTCTTCATCTGCTCTATATTACTTGACAAGTGTTTTGATTGTCATAATTTTCTGACTCGTTGAATTTCTCGAGCCTTTGGAGAAGAATTGATTGTTCGATGACATCATTGATTGGAGGTATGTCTATCTTTGCAAGTTCGGGCTTGATATTATAATTAGTGACCAGCTTTCTGTGTGAAAATATTGTCAATGTTTCTTTTTTAATGAAACAGCTGTCCTCGAGAATGATAATAGTGGCCTTGCTAAGTTGTTTCGCTGTAACATGATACTCACATATTATTCTTATCGTCTTTTGATTACAGCAAAATTACAGGTACGTATTTATTTTGTTAAGTTCAACCCATATATTTTTGCAGGGCGAAGTTTTGATTTCACACTGATCTGTGTCTTCATTTTTGATGCAGAGAATATCGTCCAAATTCGTATGGAAAATAGGTTTCTGTAGCGTGCAAAGGTCGCAGCGTCGAACTGTGTACATCTTCGAACTTCTTCTTCTGATAATGGTACATACGAGTCCTTTTGGATGTTGATCGCAATATGATCTGTGCGATAGGTGTGATGCAGACCGTCTTTTTTGTACTTGCTGAGGGATAGAGATAAGCCTGTAAATATCGTAGTTATCCCTGCTTACCAACAGGATTTTAATCTCGAAAATAAAGTATTGGCTCGTCATCCTTGCTTTTACTTCCAGTAAATGATAGACTCTGGATAAGTTGTTTTGTTAAGATGTTGTTTATAGGCAGAGCTAATTCCTTTGATAATTGGCCATAGATAATATTTAACTCTTCACTCAGTTGTTCAGGCGTTAATTAATAAAAATATTAAACTGCCCATAGTGGATGTCTGTGATGGTCTCCACCACGTTTCTTGAATGTTTTTTAGATTGGCCAAAATTTTGTTTGCTATCATGAATGAGAGGATCAATTCATTGATGATTTCTTCGGTCTGAATTTCTTCTGCTATAATGTTCGCTTCTTTTGTCTAGCTCTATGATATGGTCATTTAAGATCTTAGGCCCATAGCACACGGCGTATTTAAAACGCGCAGGAGACGCGCGTTTCAGGAACGCGCGTCTTCGGCGCCGTAGACGCTGATTGTTGCGTTTGCATTAATGATACAAGCGCGCGCATGAAGTGCGTATACGCGCGTTTGAAGCGATACAAACGCGCGTACAAAGGAGCGGAGTAGGGGCAGGGGGGGGGGGGGCGCTCACGCCACCACTGCACCGCCCGCGCCTCAGTTGCAATAACAGTTTATTGTGTGTTGCGCGTGTATTTGGTTTTAAATGGAACCCTTCGACACCGACCGCTTCATAACAGAAATAAACAATCGTCCCACTACATGGAATTCACTACTGCCCGAATATTCAAACAAAGTGTTAAAAAGAAATGCTTGGGATGACTTGTGCCAAATTTTTTATAACAATTTCAATGAAAAACCCAGTAAGGAAAAAAACCTGGCAGGTAAGATTTATTATATTTATTTAAAAATAATGTATTTGTTTTAGGACTACACATAAAACATCGCCGTAAAGATAGCCACCCCATGTCGCGTGCCCACGTTTTATGGTGTTAAATCGTTAGTTGTGATAAGTTCTGGCGTAATTTTCGTTTGTTCCGCTTTCCTTCTTACGATTTTTTTACTTATTGGAACTAACGATTTAGCACCCTAAAACGTGGGCACGCGACATGGGGTGGCTATCTTCACGGCGCACGTTGGGCCAAATCTGAAAAAAAGGAACTTATGAATTAAAAATTTGTCATCATATCTCATTAAATATTAGTTTTTAGAAAAAATTACAATTCATAAATTTTGATTGTATTGACGGCTTCTGTCGATTGGCTGAACAAAAAATTGACGTTTCGAAAAAAAAATCGTAAGTTCCTTTTTTCAGATTCGGCCCACCGTGCGGCGGTACATAGAACAGTAAAACAGTAGAACATGTAATTAGGTAGGTACCCTAAATTTTAGAATCTTGCCATGGTACTGCACCTTTATCGCTAATAAAATAATCAGTGTACATATTTCGTATCGTAGTTCCGCTTAATTGTCCCTGTGACCGTCTTGCACCAATCAAAATCAAACTTGCATCTTCAGGAGGATCTCCTAAACCAGCTATACTCAAAGAATTATGAAAATTATAACCGTCACGTTCACGTATGAAATTATGCAGTACACAACAGGCTTTCACAATAGCCACACTGAAGTCCACGCTAACGTTCAGTGGTCGATTAAAGATTTTAAATTTGTTGCTTAATATACCAAATGTACATTCAGTGTATCATCTGGCACGTGTCAAGCGGTAATTATATATTCTTTTTTCTCGTGGCAAGATTTTTCCAGCGTAAGGTCTCTGTAAATGTTGAGATAATGCAAAGCCTTCATCTCCAACAAACGTAAATGGTATTGGCACTCCATTATTAGATAGTGGTCTCGCATTTGGTATATTATAATTTCCTTGCCTTATCTTTTTGGTCCATTCACTACATTCATTTATTGTTGAGTCTGCCGCCTTTCCATAGCATCCAACATCTATATTGATGAATCTGTAATTTGCGTCACATATTGCAAGCAATACGATGGAAAAATATTTTTTATAATTAAAATACTCTGATCCACTATGTTGAGGTTTTATAACTCTAATATGTTTCCCATCGATAGCCCCAAGTAGGTTGGGAAAATTTGCGTATTTCATAAATCCTTCAGCAGTTTTTAGATGTGATTCTTCGGTTGGTTCTGGCATGCAGATGTTTTTTAATTTATCCCATATTATTTTCACTGTTTCACGGACTATAATGCCTGCCGTCGTTTGTCCACACTTAAAGTCATAGTGAATATCTGAGAAATAGCAACCCGTAGCTAAATACCTGAAAAAAATAACATTATTAAAACTTCTATTGTCATCGTAAATTTTACATATTTAATTAAAATTAACCTACAACTACTTATTTCAAATAAATTAAAATTAACCTAATAAATAACTAAACTATTGACATTATTATTGTTTTCAGTCATTGATCTTCAAAAAAAATGGAAGAGTATTAAGGACGCTTATAAAAGAGACAAAACGAAGAACAATAACTGTTCCAGTGGATCTGGAGCTAAGCCTAGAAGACCCTACATATATTCCAATTTGCTAACTTTTTTAGACCCGCTTTACGAAATAAGATCTCCAAGTCAAAATGATGATGCAGCACTGGGGCATGACAAAGACTGTGATTTTCAAAAGCCACATTCACCAAAGAAGTCTAAAAAGATTCCGATATCATATCTGACATGTATGATGATATTGAATAAATATTTTTCTCTTATTAATAATCTAAGTGCACTTATAACATTTTACGATTGATTTAAAACTGTAACAGGTCAATAAATAAATAAATACATAATAAATAAATAAATAAATACTAGTTGTTTTCTTACCTCACTGTGATGAGCAAACGTTCTTCTGCCGATATATATGATCTCATTACTGTATTTTGACGAGTTAACTCCGGTTTTAGAATCAAAAGAAGTTCTTGGAATGACGAATATGACATTCGGTAACACTTATAAAATTTCTTCCATCTTCTATGTATTACCAATTTTTTAAACGTTGTATGATAATGACCACTCAATCTTTTTTCACTCGTAAATGGGTCTATCCAATAGATTCGCTTTTTTTTACATTTTTCTCTTTTTAAAAGAAGTACTAAAGCCAACGTAAGCAGTGTTGTCTCAACCGACGCCATTGTACAACTGAAGGAGTCACTGATCTGAAAAACGCAAAATCTACGAGCGACTACAGCGCGTCTGTATCGCTGTATCTGCACGTATACGCGCAGTAGAGGCGCGTTTCACGATCGCCCCGTGTGCTTACAGTTACAAGGTTGCGATCGAATCCCGTTTGAATCGCGTATACGCGCGTAATCTGCGCGTCATCTGCGCGTTTTAAATACGCCGTGTGCTATGGGCCTTATGCTGCTTGTTTATAGACTTCGAATTTGATTCCGAATTTTGCTCGCTATCAATGCTATTATCTGATAGAAGTGGTAATATTTTTGTAATAGGCCTAGGATAATGTTGTTTTTAGTTTTCAGGGACTCTACTTGGACCAGATCGTCTTTTCCGGGGTGAAGTTCAACAACTCTACCGAGCGTCCACTTGCCGGGAAGTAAGTTGACGTCATGTATGACGATAACGTCACCAATTTTCATGTTTCTTTGCTTCTGTTGCTACTTGCTACTCAGACTGCCATGTCTTACAGATGTCGTAGAAGATTTTCTGTACAAGTTGCCAACGTGTGCGCTCGTCCCTTTCTGTTTTGGTTGGTACTGGCCTGACGTGATGGGGTGGCTGATACAATCGTTGATGGTGGACGCCAATCTGAAGTCACGCTGACTAAAGTAGTAGCAGGTCTCCAAACTAACTTCTTTTCTCTGATCAGTAGATGGGTGTTGCTGGATAATTCTCCGACAGTCGCTGTAATATGATTTTGCTTTTTCGAGAAATAAGTGTAGTCTTGGCCCTCGTACTCACACAACTTGATATTATAGGCTTGTCTCTCTCCAGTACTGATCCAGAGTTTCCCGTCGCCTCGATATGTCAGATGGGGTTTTTCTTTCAACTCCATCTTTCTTAAAGTTGGTGAATAACTGCTCGATTAGTCGAAGAAGTTGTTGCTGAGTTGATAGTAAATCTTCCATTTTTTCTGATTAATGGACTATTTGATTGATAATCCGATGACGGATGCTTCCAAGTCACGGGAATGGTACTGTTGCCAAGTGCTCCGGTATCCTAATGCAAGATATGCACCTTCTCAATCTCGTCGGTGGGACTCGCTTGTGGGATGCCGACTCGACCGATTCGCTATTGCACTTCAGGTACAGAATCACAAAAGCAATAAATGCTTTTCGTGATTGATGGAGTGATGATTACTGCTGTTGGTGATGATGTATGCTATAGCAGGAACTTATTCACTGCGCAATTGCTTGAAAAAGTCAATTGTACAGTTTTTGCTGAATAGGCGGTAATACACGGGCAGCACCAAACGGGCGAAATGAAGTCACGTTGTCGAACCGATTTTATCGATTTGATTTGATCTTACCGGCACTGGATCAATGCTCGAAGGACCATTAGGATGTACGAGCTGCTATACAATCTTAGAAGTTGATAGAAATTCTAAAGGCTTGAACTGATTATTTAATTAATTCTGATATTATGTTATGCGCGATGGCGAATGATTGCGTACTGAATTGATGAGAATGAAAAAGGATAGGATAGGATTATAATATATTTGTCCACGATGTTGGGCAAACCGACAACAGATGGCGCCTGTAGTCTCTTAGATCGCGCTATGGTTTCCCTTTACGGTGTTGGTGCTACATTTTACTGTTTAGTGTTTCGACAAAAAGGGTGTTTGCCGCTTCGATGGCACGCGACCGGTAACGGTCTGCGGGGTATGGTTATCAAGACATACTCAACACGTAATTTTTACATCCGCGAGGCAGTTGGATACCCATACGTACCGGTGCCTCGTTTCTTAATACTAATCATGCTTTCCCTTGCCTATTGTGTTTGATGTTTGCGATTTGATTAATATACAACCCAGTGTACAACATATGCAAATCTAGAGATACGATACGGTGTTTCTAGATAAAATTACGGTAGGTTAACTATAAGTGTACCGTGTAACTTTTACAACTTGGGTAAACAAATAGAACATTATGAACAAAATCAAGTCCAAATATATTTGCTTTGAAATAATTACTAACAATTATTTTTAAATGCTAAAATAAAACAATATTATTCTGAATCTGACTCTCCTAACATAACACGTTTTTTTTCAAATGGCTAGTGGATAAGTGTTTTTATACGATACAAGAGTTCATGCAACATAAACGTGTACGTGGTAGAGCCATGCTAAAGCTATATTACTTGTATAGTTGTAGCACGAATGGGTCGGCTCGACCGGGGAAGGACCACGCTCTCACAGAATACCAGCATAAAATAGAGGCTTAGCACTGCTGTGTTTCGTATGGTTTGTGTAGAGAACCGGAGACCCTTTTTACTGGAAAAGAGGCATTCCATCTTAGTCCTCACGAGTGACAACGCATCTGCATTTTGATTCGCAAACGAGGATAGATGTAGATGTCTATGGGCCACAGCAACCACTTACCATCAGGTGGACTGTGTGCTCGTTTGTCATCCTATCCTATAAAAATAAAGACGAAATGGAATTCCGTATGTATGAGGCCGGCCTAAGTTGACAAAGTTTTACCGCAATCTGATGAACGGTATGGCAGCGCATAAATAAGAATAAACAAAAATTATTTTTTATATATTAGACTAGCTGTTACTCGCGACTTCGTCCGCGTTGCTTGATATATTAATAAAGTTTTCGTATAAGTAATTTCGAAAGAAAAAAACATCAAAAAGATCGCAAGCAAAAATATACTTTGCTTACAAAGTTCATTTGTGGTTAAGCAATGTTATTTGTTGCATATAATGTTCACTGACCACGTAGTGCTTACAAAAATCGTCGTTTCTTAAAACTTTAATCACTTTATATTAAATGAAGATATCGCTAGAATATATTTTTTAATAAGGACCAAGTGTCTAAGAAATAAAACTAAGGAAACCGAATTGAAATCTATCCAGTATTTTTTCCGTGATGCGCGCACAACTGCAAACCTCTATCATTTTATTTAATATAGATAGGATCCCAAACATAGTAGCACCCAGCCATATTCTCTATTGAAATTAGGATGTTAGTATTATTGAAGGTGACTGTGTGTGGTAGCAGCTGAGAATCCATCACCTCAGACACGGGTGTCGTAGGATGTGAATATAAAAACTATTAATATAAAAAATATGATTTTAACAGTGGTAGAGCCACGCGGCAGCTTTTGCTGTCGCACGGATGGGCCGGCTCGAACCGGGGTGGTACCAGGACCTCACAGAAAACCAGCGTGAAGTAGAGGTTTACCTCTGCGTTTCGCTTGGCGAGTGCAGGTGGCCGGAGGCCCTTTTTACTGGAAATGAGGCATTCCATCTTAGTCCTCACGGGTGACAACGCATCTACATTTTGATTTGTAATGGACGATAGATGTAGATGTCTATGGGCCACAGCAACCACTTACCATCAGGTGGACTGTGTGCTCGTTTGTCACTCTTATCCTATAAAAAAAATATGAGCGACCTAATGCTCTCAAATGGACCAATGTTTCGCCATAGTCATGTTTATAGGTACCAGAATACAACAAATAAATAGATAATTAAAAGAAAATAGAATAGAAATAGATTGTAAAACACCCAGCCTGGCTACAAACATTTCCATTAATGTTCGGAGACATCATGAACTGTGGTCGCCAATCTATCTAGCAAGCGTAGCAATTGTAGTACGAATATGTTGTCCCGACCGGGGAAGGACCACTCTCTTCACCAGCATGAAAGAGCTGCATAATGCTGCTGTATTTTTTACTGTGAGTGGTATTCTATCTCAGTCCTCAGGGGTGTCGACGCATCTGCATTTTGATTCTTAATTGAGGACAAATGTGGATGGCTATGGGCCACAGAGACCATATACTATCAGGTGGACTGTGTGCTCTTATGTCTTTTTTGTGGTTAGTAACGGCAATGTTTTATTTTTTTGGGGATTATAAAAAATACTGCTGCCCATCCCTCTGGCCACTTAAATACCCACGGAAAGATATAGATATAGTTGGTATTCTTACACCGCCACTATACTATCACGGACTTTTTACACGGTAAATATAAAATTTATTGATAACTCGATCACAACGAAACCTAATGCCATCAACCAAGACCAGTTTTAAAGCATTAAACCTACATAAATATCATATTAAGTATATAATTATATTATATTATGAGTAGATTATATTATGAATAGATATGAGTCATTTTAATCACACATTTTGACACAGTGAATATGACTTCAATTGGTCCAGTCTCTCAAAATTTACTTTACTAACTCTCACTATCACTAACTTTACCAACATAATTAACATTGCAGTGAACAAAGAAAAAACCAAGAAAGTACATTCAATGACACATAACAAGAAGAACAAGTGTTTTAACGAAAAACAAGTGAACTATGTGAGCCATAAGAACATACAGACGTACACTCGATGCAGGGGAGAGTCACCGACGTATAAAAACAATAAACATACTAATCAGGACACTGGCTTTTGTGCTGAGGCAACAAATTGTAAAAAATCTAGCACATGTAGTACAAAAGAAAACTCGGGTTTAAGGTAATTAAACTTGAAGCATTATTGCTATATTTATATGACGTAGTTACTAAGTGTGTACTTGGTAGAGCCATGCTGCAGCTATATTACTGGTATAGTTGTAGCACGAATGGGTCGGCTCGACCAGGGAAGGACCACGCTCTCACAAAATACCAGCGAATAAAATAGCAGCTTAACGCTGCTGTGTTTCGTATGGTGAGTGTAGAGAACCGGATACCCTTTTTACTGGAGGCATTCGTATCTGCATTTTGATTCGTAATCGAGATATATGTAGATCTCTATGGACCACAGCAACCATCAGGTAGGCAGTGTGCTCGTTTGTTACCCTTATCCTATAAAATAAAATCTTTTCTGTGCAGCGGGGTTAGCTAAGATGACTTTCCACATATTGTTAACGCTATAGAAAACTATACAAAATAATTAAATCAACGCTAGCGTTCGTCTGTTTTGGTAACACCTATTTACCTATTTCTACTACCAAGCAGAAGCGCAACCACTACTGTATTTCTGGTTAAAGAGTAAAAGAGTTGGTACCAATAAGGGCTATGAGGTATTCCTTTTTTATTAAAGACTAGCTGTTCCCCGCGACTTCGCTCGCGTGTTAGGGTTTTTATGTTTATGCGCGGAACCCTAATTCTCTTTCTAAAATAAAAGTAGCCTAAGTTACTCCTTATGAAATCAGCTACCTGCCAGTGAAAGTCCTGTCAAAATCGGTCCAGCCGTTTCGGAGATTAGTCGCAACAAACAGACAGACAGACAAAAAATTTAAAAATTGTGTTTTTGTTATAAGTACCGTATATACTTTCATATACATTTAGTAAAAAGCTGCAATTTTGACATTACAAACAGACACTTCAATTTTATTTATTTGTATATATGTTAAACATTAATTAGCTAAGGATTCGCATCCGTAGTGGCTGACCGCTGACCACAGAGTCTAGTAACTGAGAATGCCTCGTTTGGAGGCGAAACACGTGTCGTATTATCGACAGTGGTGTGTATTTCCTAGTGCAGTGGTGTTGTAATTATATATATATATATATATATATATATATATATATATATATATATATATATATATATATATATATATATATATATATATATATCCATTCCATAGTAGTAGCACAGATGGTTAGCGCTCGCGGTAAATATCACAGTACGCGAGCAACCCTGTTACGATCCCCGCCGGCACCAATGAAATTGTCAATTGCAATTTTAAGTGCTGATATACCACGTGCTCGGCAGTGAAGGAAAACATCGTGAGGAAACCTGCATGTCTGAGTAGTAAGAAAAAAAGTATTTCGAAGATATGTGAATTTCGCCAACACGCATTGGGGCAGCGCGGCGGACACTTCCTTGCCTAAAACCCTCTCAGAAATGAGAGGAGGCCTGTGCCCAGCAGTGGGACGAATATAAGCTGTAAAACTTTATACATTCCATCTTCCAACTTTAGGCTATCTGGTCTCCTCTACCGAAGGCATCCGTCTGGTGGGGTTCTATTTGATTCATTCACGTTACAGCCTATCTAAAGTCCATTGGAGAACATAGGCCTCTCCCATATATTACCGCATATGGATTAAGACATACTTGCCACGATTGGCAGGTGGTTTAGCAGTTTAGTTTTTTATTTATAGTTGTTATCGGGAAGAGGCTGCTCTCCATCACCTACGTCAGTTTGTCCTCTGTCTTTCATTTAAAAGTTTATTTAATTCATATGACGCCCTACTGGTACGAACGTTACTATCTGAATTTAAATACGTGGTGAAGTCACGCTGCAACTATAATAAGTCTGCAGCACGAAGGTCACCCAATCATACAATACAATAGCAGAATAAATAACAGCAGGTGTTTCGTATGATACGCGACAAGAACCAGAGACTCTTTTAATAAGTAACAACTTATTCACTCTTAGTCCACACGGGTGACTACTTACTTGCATTTTGTTCCATAATCGAGGATAGATGTAGCTACCTATGCGCCACACCATCCACTTACAATCAGGTAGACTGTGTGCTCGTTTTTTGATCGACGTACGAGTTTTATCGTGGACTGGCTCAAAGTTTGAGCTTTTGGTTGATCATCGCAAAACTGCGGTTTGTTAGCCGACTCGCCAGCGTTTTATGGAATTTGGCGTTGAAAGTTGCTTCAGTTTCAATTATAAATAATAACTATGTGGCTTGCACAAAGTGTATGGAAGAGTGTGAGTAAAACTGCCGTAATCTTTACCGTAAACTTATGGTGCGTCTGTCGGTCACGGCCTTTACGTGTATCATAAATGAATATTGACTCGACTTGAGTTGAATTATAAAAAAATAAACCTCATTTAAAAACAAAAACTTTGATGAGTTATCCGCCTGATATATTCAAAGTGCCTGTTGAAAATGCTGGAGCGTCATTTTAGAGATTTACTGCCTCGCGTGCAGAGGATGGGCAGAGGCGCTGAAGTGAGATACCTAAACGACATGAGGAAGTGTATTCGTGATGCCTTCAGACACGTTTGCGAGGAAGAGTCTGTGGTAAGATTTAAATAACAATTTTAATATTGTCATAAGTTATCATCATCAACATAGCCTTCACAAGTCCACTGTAGAACATAGGTCTTCCCTAGGGAATGCCACAAAACAGGATCCTGTGCCACCTACAACCTTGCGGTTACGGCTCCAACCATTGCCACTTCAGCTTACTGATCTATTGGGCTATGTCAGTTATTGTAGTTCTACTACTGATATACTCATTAACACGTCTGTCACGCAGAGAATCTCCGGGCATAGACCTCTCCATAGCTCGCTCAGCGACCTTAAGCTTTCTCATTCGTCCAGCCATGAAGGACCACGTAACAATATAAAAAATAATATTTAGCCTGCGTAGTAAAGTATGTACTCATGGCAGAGCCATAATGTAGCTTATTAAGGTGGATAGTAGTAATTAATCGGCTTGACCTGGGGAGGACCACGCTTTCACAGAATACTCAGCGTAAAATAGCAGCTTAATGATGCTGTGTTTCGTATGGTGAGTGTAGAGGCATTCCATTGACATTACATTCGGTGTTGGTCCTATTAAATATGTTCTGATATGATATTATATGTTCAGATTTGTTGTATTGTACAGACTTGTCCAGAAATCGAACGTCGCTTCAGCATCCATCGGAAGGAGTACCACAGCCCGTGCCAAAATCAGAACACGGTAATTTTTAATATAGTATATTAGTAGTAAAATATAGTGTAGTAAATGTAGTAGTGAAATCTATAATTAAAAGTGGCTCATGCTCAGCCTAATCATTTGTCATTGATAAGCTTCTTAGAAGTCACACAGATGTTAGGTCAAAGAGTCTTCCGAAGGTGATTGGTGCTGTATAATAGCTGCAGCATGAATCGCACAAACCATGCTCACGCAGAGTTTTTCAGTCAAATTAAAGTACCGATGATAAACCAGTCCGAATAGACCCTTTTGATTATGACATAACTTACTGAGAATCAGCCTACAAAAGACCTTTTGATTCCTCTTAGAGGGACTTTAGCCATAGTTGCCACCTATGGCACGCGGGTTGGCAACCGCAATTTTTTATGATTTTGAGTAGTTTGATGCTACTGCACATTGCCTGTTTCATTTTCCTTCTGTCGCCGAGTAGAGATTTTAATGTCTGTATATATATATATATATATATATATATATATATATATATATATATATATAAACAAGCCTGTCTACTCTTGTCATAAGCCTTTTCCAAGTCTATAAAATTTGCGCGATGTTCTTTTTTCTCAGCTTAATTTTTTTCTTTCAGTGTGGCGAAACTGGTAGCGTTAGTACAGACCGTAAGTAACAATTAATTATGAACAGATAGGCTAATAAAGCAGTTCTTGACCATGTGACGTTGGAGTAAGTGTAATCCACCACCTCATTATGTACCGTGGGCACATAATGAGGTGGTGGATTATGATTGAAGCACAAATGGGTCGGCTCGATTGAGGAAAAGATCACGCTCTCACATAATACCAGCGTAAAATAGCAGCTTAATGCTGCTGTGTTTCATATGGTGGGTGCAGAGAACCGCAGACCCTTTTTACTGGAAACGAAGTACTCCATCTTATTCCTCAAGTGTGACAGCGCATCTGCATTTTGATTCATAATCCAATGATAGATGTAGACGTCTATGGGCCACAGCATCCACTTACTCTATACAGGTGGACTCTGTACTCGTTTGTCACACTTATTCTATTAAAAAATGCAAGGAGGTACTTACAGCTTACGTTAGATGGTGGTATAACCATATCCGGTAAAATATCCGTACCGGAGACAGGCGGCAGTGTCAAAGGTGCGAGTCACCTATCTCCAAATCCAAATACTCAATTGTAAGATGCCGTTGAGTCTCGTGCTGTCTCTATCACTTTATATCAAAGTTACAGTGATACAACGAGACTTCAACATAAAGACAACGAGGCATCTTAAAATTGAGTAGTGTGAGTATTTGGCCAATAGTGTTCAATCCGCTTGTCAACGGTGCCCACAACAACAGAGGCTCGTACTCCAGTTTTAATTTAGATGTTTATGGTATTTTATTTTTATGGATATTTGATGATGAAGAAGAAGAAGATAAAGTAGACTGATAAAAATAAAGAAGATAGATACAAATAAAGTACTAGGTCACAGGTTAAAAAGTATACTTTGAAAGTTGTAGCTACTCCGAACCTTCTTTTCTACCGACTTCAAAAAGGAGTCTGTACCCAATTCGACTGTATGTTTTTTATGTGTGTTACCTCATAAACTTTTACTGGGTGAACCGATTTCGATGATTGTTTTTTTATTTGAAATCTGGTACTTCACATGTGTTCCCATATAAATTTGGTCAAGGTCTGATCAATACGTTTTTTAATTATTCCTAATAATTTATATTGAAGTCGGTTGTACGAAATTTTAAATTTTAAATTATTGGTTGTAAGTTTTGAATAACTAATACTGGCCAGCCGATTTAAAAAAAAAATTAGAATGACAATCTACGTTACAGTCCATCTGATGCTAAGTGGCTACTCCAGTCCATGAATACCTGTCAGTAACTTTAAACAAAGAAGGCTGCGGATGCGTTGTCACCTCTGGGGGCTAAGATGGAATGCCTCACAGCCTGTAGTTATGCTGGCTCTCAATATCCTTCGGACCAGAGCCACCAAATAGCAGTGCGGCAGAAGTAGGTAAGTGGGTGGTAACAACCCAGACGGATTCCTGAGCAGAAACGAAGTCCTACCACCTATTTCGTATGTCTTATTATTTTTGTAACACGGCTATTGCTATTCCTTTAAAAAAATATGGTATGTTGCCCACATTTTTTCGAGTTTAATGACCCCTACAGTTTCCACTGAAATTGACGATCGCTACTTCAAGAGATGAGTTACCATGTGATTTAGCGCCTAAAAGAAACATTGTGAAATTTAAAATTTGTATTTCTTGGACCGCTGGTCCTAAAGGAAACTCAAGGTCATCAAACTCGATCAGCGAGCTGTGGAGAGGACTACGCTCGATCGTAATAGTGTTTGAAATGGTAATATCTGCAGTAGAACCAAAGTAACTGAGATAGCCCAGCGGACCAGGAAGCTGAAGTTAAGGAGAAATTCATTGCGGTCCTCTTTATTTAGAACCTTTAAATAAAAATAAAATTAAATAACATATTTTCAGAGTCATCACCAACCACTTCCGGAGCCGCGGCTACATACCAAACAGTTAAAGAGGTAAATTCCAATAATCATAAAGTTTATGTTGAAAAAAAAAACATTGATAAAAATTTACAAGTTTTAAAGCCACTTTCAAAGACAAAAGAACTGTTAATTATTGTAGGATGATTTATGTAAAAGAATTTAGTTTAAAAAAAAATCGATTAGATTTTATTTCATTTGCAATATGAAGAATGCTTTCATTTGTTTTAGTTAGTAGATTGTAAGTACGAATACTTACAATTTTCATTAAAACATGGCAGCTATATTATGGTTGTAGCACGAATGGGTCGGTTTGACCGGGGTAGGACCACGCTCTCACAGTATACCAGCGTGAAACAGCACACTACCCATTTTACTGGTATGGAGACTCTCCATCTTATTCCTCAGGTGTGACGTATTTTGATTCTTAATTGAGGATAGATGTAGCTGGTTATGGGCTACAACATATTATGTGTGCTTGTTTGTCACCCATCTCTATACAACGTGTCCTGAAACTCAACGTCAAGCGTGCACAGGGCGACAGAGGGGAGGGGAGGGGGAGGTGATACCAGCCGCGGGAAAAATAAAAAATAAATTCCATGTCAGTCAGTTCAGTTATAACTGACAAATTTATGAAATGAGGAAAATCTGACACATTAAATCATTGTGACCATAAATTTCTCAATGTTACATTGCTTTTTACACTAACATGGCTTTAGATAAACGTGTTATATTAATCGCAGTCACAAATCCAGTAAAAAAGGTTGCTAGGTTAAATTTAAAGCGAGTTAAAATTGACGTAGTTTCTTTTAGTCGCAGTTGAAAAAATAAGATCACCTAACTTTGACTCTTCATTAAAAAAAAATACATAATATACTACCCTAAGCAAGTTACTTTAAAAGATGGCCCATTTATCTTCAATTTCAAAATAGTATAATACGTATCAATTTTCACCCTTAAAAAATAAAATAAACTTGATTTTCCGTAATAAGACCTATAATCAGTTCCTCACCTACACACAGTACATTTTCATCTATTAAACAGTGAATTAATTTCAACAAGTGCAAATGAGACAGAAATGTTTTTGAACGAAACAGATAATGACGCCATTTCATGTGAGTTAGTGCGAGACAGATAGAGATGTTATTTGATATTCGACCAAATTATGTTAGAGTGGATTTTTAAAAAGAAATTCTATTAATAAATTAGGAGACAAAGTATAAAATGAAACAAAAGTTTTATTAAAATATTTTGTTTTATCTAGTTATTAAAATTTTCAAATTGTATCTACGTCTTTTTAAAAAAAGATCACTTCACTAATCTTCCCTACATATAATTTTAAATATAACTAACATCTACATTACCATCTACAGACGGCGAAGCCGGCCTTGCTCTTTTTAACCAAGACTCAGGTGTACTCTCCGGCTGATTCTTCATATCTCTCCTACCCGGGGTACGAATTAGAACACTCCTTTGTGCCCCGGGCTTATACGGCTGGGCGGCCCCAGTTTGCGTATAGGTCAGAGAGGACATCTGTATTCGACGCCTCGGCAGTCTTGAAGGTGCGGACCTGTTAATCCTATGTCCCTATTGCTACGCGTAGATAGCAACGACCATCCCCGCGTCTACGGGTGCCTCTATAGGTCCCATAGCGGTAATGCCGACACAGACCGACTCATCGAAGACGTCCAAATGGCTGCAGAATCCGTGCTACACCAGGTCCCATCCGCAGAAATCGTGATACTGGGTAATTTTAACGCCCAACTCGTTTAATCGATCATGCGGGTAGATCTGTCTATGATTTTACATTGGCATACGGTCTAACACAACTGGTTACTTCGCCTACGCGGATCCCAGATGTGGAGGATCATGTACCTTCCCTGTTGGACATTCTGCTGACCTTTCATCCGGACGGATATCAGGTCTCCGTCGATGCCCCTCTGGGTTCTTCGGACCATTGTCTGATCGGAAATACGGTGCCAATCACGCTCCCATCGCAGTTGCGATTTGCAGTTTCTGATCTTTATTTGCTTTATTTGGGACTGCGATTAATTGCACGTTTATTTAAGACCACGTTAGTGAAAGAAACATTGTGCCATTGAGAAATTTGTGGTCACAATACCTAATGATATGATTTAAGGACGTAGTTACATTATTGACGCGCTCGAATTTAGATGTTCGAATTGCAAGCTGTTTAACGCATGCACACATTGAAACAGTTTTCCGCTATATTTTATATATCATATCTAACTAAACCAAAGACGTATTAAAAAGATAGACAGGTTACACACTAACATTATTGTATTTTAAAATGGCGCAGGTAGTACTATATCTACGTACAGTTATTTATTATGACACGTTGCGCTAACAAAAAGAGACAAATGATAGGACATAGGACATACCTATCGTTACAAAAAGATGAATATACATCATTAGTTGCGTATTGATTGCTGCTGAGTGCTCATTGGCGCGAGCGCGTGACATAGCGATATGGAAAATGAACGCACTAGCTAGCGTCAAGTT